TGAGTTCTGTACGAGTTATCAACAAATGATTTGTTGTGATCCTTTCATATGCAGAAGTATGCCGTCGTTCGTGAAGATGACACCAGCGGAGGCGAGGACTGAGCACTTTAATAAGAAGACAACAGGGGTATATGTAAACCTGGGGGACCCCTAGGGACCCCGATATGTACGACACGGGACCCCGATTTTTGGCTGGGTATCTAGGTCTTAGGGGTCCGAGCCTAAATATGCAAAAATAAGCAGGGCGTGAGCGCGTTTTCAAGAATCCTGATTGATATTGCTATACAACTTATAATTATGGAACGTATGCGCTAAAGAGCAGGCTCTGGCATGCTTTTCGCTGGCCATGTCCAAAGCGAACAGCTGTCAGTCCTTTGGCGGTGTTGATTCTTGATAGCAACTGTTCGATTTGCCGTTGTAAACACAAGCATACTCCTTTAGAAAGCGAGCTGCAGGATTTCGTGGAACGTTTAGGCATAGACGAAACGTTCACCTCTGACTACCTGCATGCTCAGGTCTTCTCTAGTCGTGTCAAAAGTGATTACACAAGTTGTTTAGAGTCAACTGCGGCGGAAAACAGGTACCTTTCCGCGTGAACTGCCAGCAATTGCTGGTCCAGGTCTCCTTTCTGAGAAGCCAGGCAAGTTAAACATTGTTGTTATACCACTGTTGTAGTGCCAGGCAGGCAGGCAAGCCTGCACGCGGGGGCGGTTTCATGGTTTTCTTGCCCACCCTCAACCACGGCCACCCGCGCTCGACCCCCATCTTCCATTTCATCGCAGGGAAAGTTCCAGCCAGAAGATGAGTCGTTCTTGCGGGAGTGTGCAGCTGACCTTGCTCACATTTGGCGGCATGTGGTTTGCGACCAGGGTGGCGGCCAGGAGGGTGCGCCGAGTGGGGTGCCGGTGGGGGACCCCTTGGAGCCTTTTTTTTCGGCCGCTGCCAAGAAGCTCGCATCGTTGCTGTCAGAAGGCTGGGTCGACCAGTTCATTTCCATCATGAACCGGCATGGAGCTTGCAGCCAATGGCAGCACGGGTCTCTGCCCCATTTGGCTTTCCGTCATCACTGCAGCAGCCCTACCCACCTGGTACTGATCGGCAGCAGCAAACACGTCCGTCAGGAGGCGGTTCGGGGAACAATGGTGCTGGTGCTGCGCTTACAGCACGACTCTTTCAGTGCTTGGACGGGATCCGGTACTGGGCGCCCACTACGTACTCCCTCAGCAAGGTCTATGAATGTGTTGCATCGGCATCCAGTACGCCAATGCATCCAAGTGCCTTACGTGCAGCCGCATGCACAGCAGTGAAAGCTGGGGGTTTCCTAGCGGACATGCTTGCAGATACCAGCAAGACGTCATCGGCCTGGGCGCTGGCAGCTGTCTGAGAAGGTATCCCATCTGGTGAGTATGCAGGGCTGGTGTGTCTTGATCTGGAGGCGTGTACATACTTCATTCATTCTGCCTTCAGGACCACTGCCGAATCTAGCTGGGCCCGGGCTGTGCTCTACGATGCGGCTTGCTGCAGTTGCAGCGGGCACCTTAGGCTCGCCTGCATCAGCGGCCTTCTTACTTGGCTCAACGAGGGCAGTGGTACACAAGGGATGGCCTCAGGTGTGGGGCACATAGTACAGGTTGCAATGGGCAGCAGCACCACAGCCAGCACTGGTGGCGGCAGCCTTGGCACAGCTACCGTCCGGCTCAACGAGGAAGCCGGCGCGCAAGGTATAACCTCAGGCGTGGGGCAAGTAGTACAGGTGGTGATGGGCAGCGGCACCACAGCCAGCACTGGTGGCGGCAGCCTTGGCACTGTACACGGTACTGTCATTGAATACAGTGTACTGACAGGACGCGCGAAGAGCAGGGTCGGTAGAAAGGAGACTGCGATAATATCAATACCACTAAAGCCATCGTTTCTGGTACCAAACATGGCTCATCCGCAGCATGGTTACACACCACAGTGGCAGGATTGGAAGGGGCTCTACAACAGGATGTCACTTTACGGTAAGGGCAACGGCTTAAGCATGCGCTCACATCCTGTCTGTTGGGTCGTGTGTGTTTAAAGTTGCCTGCCTTGCCTTCGCAGTGAAGCTGGAGCTGCTGTGGGATGAGTGGGTGCTGGGGATTCTTCTGCCAGATGGCCTTACCCGCACTGCCCCTCTGCGGCTTCTAGAGCATCCGGAGCTGAGAGGCATATGGCGTGCTGGGAAAGACATGAAACGAAGAATCAACGAACGCAAGACCGTCATCTATGCACTGCATCGGTGGATATTTGGTTACGCACATGCACAATTAGATGTCGTGCAGGGTACTTCGTACCCTGAAATGACCGTGGATGAGGCCTGCGCCGATCTGCTTGCCACATTCAAGGGAGCAAAGGGGAAAAAAGTCTGTGTGAGCTCCCTAGCTCGACAGAAGATAGATGAAATGCCGCCCTCAGAGTATGAGGACCTTGTGGGTGTGGGGCTGTACACGTCACACAGGTACCCCTGATAGTGTTTTTTGGGGGGGCTACAATGCATGTGTTGAGCCCTGTACCGTGATAACCGTAGCTACAAACTAGTTCGGATCTGTTAACTTAGGGTTTCTCATGTGGCACGACAAATCTGATTGGTCGTCACTTGCAGTCGTCCTGTAGGTTCAAAGGACCTGGGTGTATGGATTTTAACTCTTGAATTTTGCTTATGCTTTAATTCATCATGCGGCTGTGATACTCCAAAGCACCGTTGCACCTGACATAGACGGTAGAAAGATCACCTGCATGCACACCACATGCAAGACTGCAGCCTGACAGCCCAGCCCCAGCCCCACGACAACCCCCAACTGGATGAAGGGACAACCTATATGAATCTATATGAAGCCCATGTGCGCATTCCAAAGACACCACAATAAACACAACCGGAATGGACCCTGCGTCAATTCAACTCTGGGTGAAAACCGCCGGCCACAGGACAGGGAACACGATTTCAGCACAGGTCCAGCTGCAGTCTCTTCTTATATGTCTTCGGCATCAGGCATGTGAGAGGCGCAAGGCTGGTTGTGTTTGCCGTACAGAGCACAAGAGGTGGTTAGTGGGTGGGGCCAGCCATACAGCTCCAGAAGGATAGAACCACCGATGCTTGGCTGCTAGGCGCCGAACCAGCTGCTGAAGCTTCTTGTTGTATGGCATCAGGCCGTTGAGGGGTGCAAGGTGTAGCCGCGTTTCTACAATGTACGGAGCTTTAGGCCTTGGGAGCCGGGTTGGGGCCGCTTCTCTGTTTTCACGGATTTGCAGGTTCACTTTATAATTTTCATTACGTTTGCTCCGCTGACAGGAATGACATTGACTCGTTCAGCATGGGTGCAAGTAGCGTCAATCAAGTAGTTAACGACACACGACCATATGATTGCCACTGATATATATATTGGACCTCCTTTGATCTCATGGTTTTGAAGAAGTTGAATGCAAGCTAGTGGCGTGTGTCTCTGCTTACCTCCGGTCTCTGCTTACCAGTTTAGAGTTAACGAATTTAAAAGTATATATTTGCAACATTTGCATCGTTATAACCTGCAATGAAATGTATGGGTCCCGGGATGCCGTATGGTATCGGGTCCCTAAGGGTCCGGGACCTTTGCATAGCAGTGGCTGTATTGTGGTACAGTTACATACGCTCAACATTTGCGTGTCCATCTTTTTCTGACACTTCGACTGTTGAACCTGTTTACATGGTAAGATCTTAAGAGTTGCTGGCTGAGTTGCATCTGTCATGTTAGGATTTGCTATGAATTCGTCCCTGTTATTGAGGGATAGTTCAAACAGGTTCAAAAGTATGAAGAAAACCGTGAGTGTTGTGAACCACAGTTCAAGTTCAAGTTCAAGTGCAAGTGCACTTTGCACTTTGTACAGCTCTTGTACTGCTATTGTAAAGCTCTTTGCGGATCATTTACTCAAGCACTTCCCCTTTGGGGGAACAAAGGGACAACCTTTGGTCTCCCTACAAAAGCATGCTCATTCACAACTAACGCTAAGATTCGCACTGCTACGCTGTTGTAAATGGTAACTATGCTGTTGTTTGAGCCTGTTTGAGCTATACCGTTGACATGACAAACTCGATTTTGTTCGGGTCGAGCTTCTTCACGTTCGTCAACCCTACCAATTTGCTGGTGTTAAGAGATAAAGGCTGTTGTGTTGGAATTACGAGATGCGCGCTGGCAAAAAAGGTGGTTAGACCGCTACAGGGAGGCTTCATATCTCAGCGGGGTGGCGCAGCAGGTTTGCTATTGCATACAACCTTCGCACATCGTTGTGTTACAAGATAAGCAGGTAAACTCAAGGGTTAATAAAAGCAAGAGCCCAGAGATTCCGTGCAACCTGCACGTCATGGTACCGAAACCAGTTCGCTCAGAGGGCTGACCGCCACAAACTTAGTTCTACAACATACGCGAACGAACGTGAACTAACGCGGACTTAACGCGATCACCCGTCGTCATAGTGTTAATCGCACACACATTACCTGCTGGCACACATTATACATTTCTGTGTTACTGTCTCCCTTAACTGGTTCTGGTGGCGGAGGATTGGCTGACCCGACGGTGCTGAACGGTGCGATTGGGACGATTTGTTGGCGAGAATTGCACCGCTGCCAAGGGCCTTACACAGCAGGAAGAGCAGACAGCCAAGCCTATCAGTGGCCGCGCGGCCCAACCGGCCAGCAGGCCGCCCGTAGCCACGGGGGCCGCGCGGCCTACCGCGGCGCGACACACCAGACAGCACCCAGTCCGGAACACACCGCGAAAGGGCGCCAGCGCCCAACACCAAAAACCAGAACAAAGCTAACCCAAGAAACAGAAGCACTGCAGCACCCGCGCGCCCCAAAAACCTTCACACCAGACAAAGCCCGACCGACCAGAAACGACCAGGCACCAACCCCAAGGTAGTTCCCCCTTATTCCGGATGCGGGCGCCCCGGCCCGCCCCCTGAACCACCCCCCTCCCGCGCGCGTGCTGCCTCAGACTGCCATCAAGCTAAGGGGGGGAGGGGCGCCTCTCAGGAGACCGCCGACGCCAGGCCGAGCCAAACAGTGCTGCATCTGGGGCAGGATTGGGGGTAGCGGAAGAGGAAGCAAGGGGCTGACAGGGACAGGGCGGGCGGGGGGCAAGTACAGCCTGTCGCACTGACAATTGGACAAGGCCGTATGCTCTTCTGCGTGAAGGCAGAATGACTTCACCAGGAGAGCAGCGAGAGTTAAGTCGCCACTGCGAACCAGTTGTACGACAGTACCACAGAACCAGCCTTAGAAGCTCTGGTCGCTTCACTCCGTCGCATCTAAGCCAACAATTCTGTGTTACTGTCTCCCTTAACTGGTTCTGGTGGCGGAGGATTGGCTGACCCGACGGTGCTGAACGGTGTGATTGGGACGATTTGTTGGCGAGAATTGCACCGCTGCCAAGGGCCTTACACAGCAGACCGAAGAGACATTTGCTCACTGGCGAGGCCCAGGCTGCGGGAGACGGAGAGTTTCGCCTCCCCGTCGCGCCGCGTGTAGTGCTGTACCATGGCGTCGCTGCGCCATCGGCCGTGCGCTTTGCGCAGGTCCGCAGGCACACCGCGGTCGGCGGCAGTGCTGTTTCCTCCTATGCGCATGGAATGCGCAGTGATGCGGCGGGTGATCCCCGCTGCCTGCAGAGTCTTGTTGAGCCGGTGGCAGAAGGCCGGGTACGACAGGGAGTGGATTGGCTGGGCCACCGTGCCTGTCAGGGGGCCTGACAAGTACCCCCCGGCCCTGTTCCACTGGACCGGTCGCAAAAGGGGCCCGACGTCCTCGTCCGGCGTGTCTGGGCGGCGTTTGTACCCTCCCAGGGTGAGAAGGCGCTCCGTCAGGCCCACGGGGCAGGCGGCACCGCCAACACGGGCGATGGGGACCCAGTGACCCCGTCTCTGCTGATCGGTCTTGGAACGAGGGATGAAAACATCCATGCCAGTTGCCGTGATAACCAGAAGGTCCTCGTGAACGCTGATCTCCGCAGCGTCGTCGAACCGAAAGAACCCCGCGAACATGACCACGACGGCTGTAACGGTCATCAGCTGGTCAAGGGGCGGCTCCGGCCCACTAACCAGCCGGGCCAGCGCCGTGACGTCCGCCGGCTCCAGGGCGTCGCGTTCCAGTTTGCGGCCTTGGAGTTGCTTTTCGGCAAGGTCGCGGACGATGCTGCAGGCAGGGTGCTCTGTAGGGGGCGCTCTGCCGGCTAGGCGGAAATAGGAGCTGATTGCTGCACTCGCTGTACGAACCCGTCCTGGCCCCACCTTATCTTCCTTGGACGAGTTCAGCAGGGAGAGCAGATAGAGCGCCACCACCTCACCCGGGGTGTCATAGATGCTTCCGGGCAATCGCCTGGCCACCCACCACTCGCGGAAAGGTTCCCAAAACCGCGCGTAATCATTGGACGTCCGCGGGGCGAGTGTTTGACCGGCCACTTGGGCAAACTGAGTCGCCAAGGTGGAGAGCTCTGCGTCCGCCTCCGCGCCTAGAGCGACCAAAAGAGCCTCAGCTCGGGCATCTAAGTCTGTGCGAGGGGCGCGATCGGGTCAGCGGGGACACGGATACGGTTGATGTTAGAGGCCGAGAAGTCGACCAGAAGGGCCAAGGTGGACCAGCGGGAGGCGCCTTTGGGCAGGGGGGCCCCCGAAGTGCGGGCCAGGAAGACATCCGCGGCCCGGCCGAGCAAGCGAACTCCACACACAAAAGATTTGAACCAAACCCCGTCGTCGGTGATAAAAGGCCACCAGTCGCGAGTAGGCCAGAAAGGCGCGACAAGGCAAAGCCGGGACTGGCAGGCCTCGGCGTGCTGCAGTACCCTGAGGAGGAGGTGAAAGGGCGGATTCGCCCAGCACCTGCGCCCCCAAAAGAACCTGAATGCATCGACTCCGGACGTCGTAGGGGTGAAATAGCGGGAATAGTACACGGGTAGCTGGAAAGTCGCGTGGGACGCAAATAGATCGATGTCGAAGGGGCCCCAGGTGTCTTGAAGCCTGCGGAATATGCTGGGCTTCAGCATCCAGTCGTCAGGGTCATGCAGTTTCGAAAGCGTATTGGCGAGCTGGTTCTGACCGCGGGGTCGCCACTCCGCTTGCAAGCGGATATCCTGCTCGAAACAAAAGCTGTGCAGCTCGCAGGCGACCTTGTGGGAGTTGTCTGCTTTAGCGGAGCCCTTGTTGACGATATTCGCTGCATTGAGATTGTCGGTGATGACCTTAACCGACTGACCGGATAGACCGGCTGGGCTATCGAAAGATCGAATCGCGTTCAGAATGGCGTGGAGTTCCTGCGGAGTAGATCCCATAGCGCTGACGTCGGGCGTCCACTCGCCGCGCGCTGGCGCTAACCGGCCATTGAGGATGGTCCAGGCCCCCCAACCTCCGAGGGACTCGGAGGATTTGCCTGCGGCGTCGCAAAAAATGAGGGAATGCACCACGGACGGAACCCACAGGTGCCGTCGGCCGTTAAACCGATCAAAGGACGACTCCCAGAAGGACAGCTCCTCCCGCGCATCGTCCGAGAGGGAGAGATGGGTTTCCCAGGTCTGCCGAGTTTCAATAAGTTGACCGAGGGCTCGGGTGCGCAGCCGGGCCCAAGGTCCGAGGGCCCAAGACATGGCCAGGAGTTGGCCTTTAATGGACGCCAATAGGCGGGCAGTCGAGCGCCGCGCCGTGAGCACACTGCTGATCTGAGATAGGAGGCGATCCCGCTTGTCGTCTGGCACGATGAAAACTCCGTCCTTGGTATCGATAAGCATGCCCAAGTAGCGAATGCGATGCTGCACGGCCCCCAGCATAGACTTCTCCTTATTGACCAAGAAACCGAGCGACTCCAACTGAGCAACCACTTCGGCCCTACGCCGGACCAAGTTGTCGGCGTTTTGGTCCGCATGAACCTGATCGTCGATGTAGCCCGAGCATCGCCAGCTGCGTTTGCGCCAGGGGCACATGACCTCTCGCATGAGCTTCGTGAACACCCAGCAAGCAGAAGCGAGGCCGAACGGCAGTTGTGTGAAGACATGAAAGACCCCTCTCCAGCAGAAACCGAGATATTCCCAGAACCTGGGATCGATATCGAGATGATGATAGCCACTTTTAAGGTCCAAAGTGAAAAGATAATCGCCTGGGAGTAGCCAACCAGGAACCGCCTTCAGATCTTCATACCGGAAGGAAGGGACGTGCAAGTAATCGTTTACCGGCCTGCCGTCCCAAATAAGCCGGAGCTTAGTTGCCTGCTGCACAACCCCCAACGGGCAAACCACACGGGGCTGCGACGGCCAAACACAGGCCGTGCCCGACGCCACTAGATCTGCTACGGCTTTGTCCACGAACGCGGTGTTGGCGGTTGCCGAAGCGTGATTGCGGCCAGAGTGCTGGGGGGGAGGGCTGGAGACCCAACGAAGAGGGAAACCCGACGTAATCCACGAGATGACCAGCGCGTTCACAACCCAAGCCTTCCAAGCGCCTTTCTTGCTTGAGAGGCGTCCCCTCATCTGGGGCGGCACGAGAGATGGACCCGCTGCTGGGGAAGACCGAGGTCCCAAGGCGCTGTCGAAAGTAGAACTAGAAAACTCCCCTTTATTTTCCCAGAATTCACCCGGGGTCTCAACCTTCACACCTTCTGGCGCCACCGCGGGGCGGGCTGGTTGTTTCCGATGCGTGGCGAGACTTGCCGGAACTGGTGCGGAGTCCAGGTTTGGCCGACGGGCAGGAACGGGGCCCGGTGCGGGCCGTTTGGGGGCTGGCAAGTCTTCGGGGGATGCGGTAGGTGGGCCGCGCGGCTGACCTAAGAGACGCTGCCCTTTGAATTGGCTGACGTTGCGACTGACAGACAGCTGGACGTTTTCCGCAAGGCCCGAACTCGAGAGGGCCTCTACCCCTAGCTCGGACAGGAAGGCAATAGCATCGTCGTGCGAGAAAGAATCCATGGTCCTCAGGCTGGAAATTACTGGCGGCTATGAAGGCCTGCAAGCGAGCACCGGACAGACTGTTGGAGACACGGGCGAAGCGAGAAGTGGAGCAACGCTTAAAAAGTGGAAGGCAAAAAACGGGTCCCCCCAGCCGGCCGGCTGCCAAGGCGACTTGAGTGGCCACTTGGCCTGACGCGAACATCCGAAAAGGAGGAAACTGCAAACGCTGCCACAGAGTGAACCCGTGTGACGGTCTGTTCACAACCGCAAAAAACGAAAGCAGTAAAAGGGAACAAAGCGGGAAGGCAAAACACCGCGAGTAAAAAGAAAGTCGTCAACGAAGCTTACAACTGCGCTCGCGGGCGCCAATGACTGCACATGCGGGCGCCAAAGAACTGCGCACACGGGCGCCAACAACTGCGCACGCGGGCGCCAAAAAAAAAAAAATTGCGCACACGGGCGCCAACAAATGCGCATGCGGGCGCCGACTATTGCACACACGGGCGCCTCAATCGCACGCGCGGGTGCCCAAGTCGATAATCGCTGGCAACCTCATCGAACCAAAAAAGGAAAAAAATCCTGTGCACACTGCACTGATCGGCGGTAGTCATGGAAGGGGGTGGCGGCACACGGGCCAAGAAAAAAGGACAGGCAAACTGGCCCCGCTCTACTGTGCCAGAAATTGAAAACCACTACTTGCCGCTACGGCCTTCCTTGCGGCTATTGCCATTGCGATCGCTGCGATCAAAGCGCTCTGCATCTCGACCTCTGCCGTACTCGTGACCTCCGCGCTGGCCGCCACCCCGTTGATTACTGCCGCGCGATCCGCCACCGCTGCCTCCGCCGCCGGAGCCTCCGGCGCCGCGAGAATGGCTGCCGCCATGGCTGCCAGGCGTGGAGGTGCTTGCCGTCCGCAGAGCCCAGTCCTTCTGTTTACGCACTAGGGCCTCCGCTTTCTCGCCTTTCGGAATCCGTGTGCCGATGATGTTATTAAAACAATGATCCGCGGCTGTAAGGCCTATGCGGGGCTCTGAGGCTAGCTGGTGCGTTACCTCCATGCCGATCTCAGCACGGAGCTGAAGCCGGTCTGTCCACTCAGCGGCCTTCTCGTAGCAGCCGGCATCAAGGTAGCTGCGGATGAGCTGAAGGCCGAGATGAAAGCCTGCGAAGGCTTGCAGGCGGTGACCGATTACATCTCTCGGTACCTTCTGCTCGTTAGCCATGAAATCCGCGCGCAGCTCGTCTGCCTGCTCCAAAGTGGCCCGGTCGTCCCGGCGGCGCTTCTCCGAGACCTTCTCTAAGGCATTCATCATGACTGTTTCTAGAACGGCAGCGCCTGTCTTAGCAGCGCCAGCCGGCGGGGAGGACCCAATGGCGCCCAACCCACCACCAGCCCCACCTGGAACGGTGGCTACGGTCTCAGTCGAAGGCGCATTGTCATTAATAGTTGACATTTAAATGAACTAAGTAGGAATCGTAGGAACTCAGGCGATGTAGATCGGAACTTGAATTGGTAAGGCTTCAAAGTACAGCCTGTCACACTGACAATTGGACAAGGCTGTATGCTCTTCTGCGTGAAGACAGAATGACTTCACCAGGAGAGCAGCGAGAGTTAAGTCGCCACTGCGAACCAGTTGTACGACAGTACCACAGAACCAGCCTTAGAAGCTCCGGTCGCTTCGCTCCGTCGCGTCTAAGCCAACAAATATACCTAGGTATATAGAACACGTGATTCTGTGCACATTGTATGTCTGCATGTGTGTAACTCTTGATATAGTTGTGTGCAGTGGTGTTCACTCGAGCAGTTCCCGTGTCTTACAGAGCACCAGTGGTATAGTGGTAGCATAGGTCCTTGCCACGGACCAGACCCGAGTTCGATTCTCGGCTGGTGCAGCAGTGACTCGCATGTTTTGAAGCATTCTACGGTGAACCACAGGCATCTCACTGCCTTAATTAGTGCATGCACGCCCCCATGCATGTGCGCGATCCTCCATACCTACTTCGAATTTGTTGTCCCACATGCCCGAAGCGCGTGTGTGCTGGTTGCAGGTCCAAGTGTATGTCCTGGGTATTAGGTGCATTGTTGCATGCCAATAACACCCAGGCAGGAAGGAATGAATGCTATGGTGTAGTGAACTTTAAAGTGCTCTGTCCTGTGCAAATAGATGCAAAGGTCTGGTCTGGGTTGACACTACTGCGATTCGCGGTTTAAGGTTCTGGGTTCGATTCCTGGGGAGACCCCCGAATTAGTCGGGAGCGCGAGATTATGGCTAGCTGCTGAGATGTGGAGTTGAGGTCGCAGTTGATGGACCAGATTCGCACGCTAGATTGGTGGCGATTGCCGAACCCTCTGTCTCTTCGGTTGTTCGGGTGAATGGATGAGGAGGGGTCCTAGATGGCTGGACCCGCCGCCTTGGACTTACAGTTCGTATGGCGAAGTATAGTGTGGTAGTGGTGGACGGTGCTATAAGATGATAAATCGTAGAACTGACAATGTGATAAAGCGGCCCAGAAGCCTCCCACTCTGTAACATTACATTACAGATGCAAAGGCACATGCACACAGCAGGGAGACAAGCAAACAAGTGAGGGACTGCAAATAAAGTGCAATACAGCATATGTGTATGCATGTATATGTGTACATATGTCATCCATCGTCATGTGTGTACACGGCTGGCCACAAACAGGATTACATATGCCAGGTTTTCTTATTAGTGCACTCTGTGAGTGCAGTAGTGCAAGTACAGCTCTCCATCCATCATAACCGACCTTAGCTTGTGTTGTGGCACACTTGCATATTAACCCTCGGATCTTTCCCCAATTCTCTGGCACTTTGCCGCTGGGCAATATCTTCGCTCTTACTTGGTTAACCATTGGGCACTTGCCTATCTTTAATTGGGCGCTGGCCCACCTTTAAGCGGGCACTTGCCTGTCTTCATCACGCGTGATACTGGATTATAGCGCTCTTGCTATAATCGTGACACTTGTCACTGGTAGACCCACTTGGGTTACGATTGCACCGATTGGTGATAATTCGCGTTGACGACTATATCTTCGGACCGTACAGACTTCTGTACGGGTCGTCCTAACGCAGAGGCATTTAGCCTCTTCTCATTCACTCATCGGTAGTTTTCACTACCACCTAAACAGTGGAGGTGGATACAACAAGTGGTATCGAGACGTTCGGTCTCGACCAGCTCTTCCGCACCAATCTCGAT